ACTGTCTATTCCACCAGATCCTTTGTTGGACGATATTAAGCGACGGGCTGTTGCTTTGAAGCGAGCCTATGCTCTGTGAGTGGAGAACGAGCTGATGCGAATATTTTCTATGAGAATTATATAAATTAAGCGAAGTGCAGTTGCTTCGTGGGACGATTTTAAGCGGAAAAAGGTTCCGACTACTTTTTGGAAAATCTACACAAAACTGTATATTTTCTTACCTGTTGGGTTTCCCTGCAAGTTGTTTATACCAATTAAATGCGAATATCTTTGTTCTTAAAAATAACTGAAATGAACTCGTTCACACGAGGATGAAAACCAATACGAGAAGACTTAGTTGATAAAGACTTTGTTATGAATGACAGATGTTTTGGAATTGATTTTTCGGTTAGGATATTTCATAATGGATTTAGTGAAGAATAACATGAAAAACTATCATCAAGAACATCATTACTGGGCTGCGGCTAGACTTTGCTTGGAGCTGGTCTAGAATGGAGAAGTAAGACAGCTCCTTCCCTCCGTTTGTCTGGGAGTTCACCTTGGGCATTTGATAGCACTCCCTTGCCTGCCTAACTGGGGTTATAGTTTTGTTAAACAAAAAAAATATGATATCTTGAATACATCTGCAAGAAACAAGTCCTAAAAAACTGTGACCAATGCCAGTCGTATCATGGTGTTGTTTAAGATGTTCATTATGGTAGTTACAGTCATGGTGGTGGTGATAGTTCTCATCTATGATGGTGGTGATGGTGCTGGTTTCTACGATGGTGCTGATAGTAATTGTGCTGGTTATGAAAATAATGGTAGAAATGGACCTTTTGCATAATAGACCAACATGTGATCTAGGCAACAAGAAGGAAATAAATCACCACAGCTAAAAAGAGCATACCGAAATTAGTATAATTGCCACGTTTGGTTGCAAAATGTCAAGAAGTACGGAAAATATGGCCATGCAAAGAAGCCAATTTTGTATACTTTTTTACTACGGCCAGAAGCGTTTAACTAAATTATTTACAATATCAGCAAAATTTGGTAATTTTACTAAATTTAGGATGCACTTTTCGGAAATTTCCTTTTTGTTGCCTAAATCAAAAGTTGGTCTATTATCCAAAAGGTCCATTGTAGTAAATATATTAGCTGCATTTTGTTCCTGAAGTTTGATGCTGATGAAAAAGAAAGATAACGGAACTCAGTGGCGTCATGCACTAGAACGATAATTCGGGGTGGGGGGGGGGGGGTAATACATGCACTAGAACGATAATTCGGGGTGAGGGGGGGGGGTTGAATTTTCTTATCTTCAATTCTTCCCGACTGATTTCTTTTGTAAGTGCAATAGCTTAGAATAGAAATCCGTCGGGTAAAACGGAATATATGAATTAAAATCACCTCAATTATCGTTCTAGTCACGCTCCTAATGGAACTACAAGAACTATGTACATTACAGAGGACGTTAGTTTTTTAGCTGGGAAGGAAGATATTTGTAGTCTGAAGCGGAGCTGGAAAATGGTAAAAATTTGACTGAAATGTAAATAATATTATGTTCAATAATTTTGATGTTCATGAAAAAGAAGGTCACGAAACAACACAACAATTAATATCTTAGGCGTGTTTCAAACGTCGTTTTTTGGTTTTTAATGCGTTCGACACTTGAAAGAAGAACGACGTTTGAAACAGGCCTTAACTGACCCAGAAGAATAAATTCCTAGAAATGTTTTTGTAGTATTTTTTGTAGAAAATAATGGGAAACTTTTTAATTCCCAAGCGCTAAGTTCCATTAAATCCCGTTCTTCACTTGCAGAATTTATTCTCGCGAACTGAAAAAGAATTAGGAAACGATCCTACATTTTCGTGGCGAATTTCTTCGCAGACCAATCACATCACCGGTTTTTAGATTCCTGTTCGCGTCGCACGAATAAATTCCCCGAGTGGAGACCCAGCTGATGTGAATATTTTCTATGAGAATGAAATATCTGTATCAGGCATACGAATGGGAGAGCTTTGTTTTGTTAACTAATAAAACGTGGTGTCTTTAATAAACGAACACCCAACTATATTGATCTGTAAGCATCGGACCGTAGATCAGTTAACTTGTAAATGTATTTTGTGAGCTATAGTTTGAGGTTGGGATAATTAATGAAATGCTGAAGATAGGAGGAGTCTTCTTTTCAGTCAAGATGCATTTTGCGTTGTCAAATTACACCCGTGAGATATTCAAAATCGTCCATGCAGGAATCGCGGAGGGAGAGAGAGGTAGAGAATGGGGATAGTTTTATGTTTTGAAAGTTTTCCTCACTTTTTCTGTCCCGCATCGAATTGCAAAGAATGTTTCAAGACTGCAACAGTGGCTCCGAGCCTCCGACAGATTTGAATTTTCCTATTGTGGTAATTGCTCCCATGCAGGAATTCCAGCAATGTCGAAACAATTGGAAAAAATGTGGTTCGCTTCCAATCACTTTTTTATTGCCTGGCTTCTTAAGGCTGTCTTCCACTTAAGCTGCGTCATACTGTACCGGATCCACTCATCACGACATCTTCGTTTGTCGTTATAAAGCAACGATTATTAGTAAATGATTATTAATTTGATAGATTTGGTATATTTATTCAGGACACCGCTGTCATTCATTAATTAACTTCAAAATTCGATCTGGTCTGATAGTAATCCGATACCTTGTCAACGGGGCTTTAAGTGTTTTTCATACGCAGGTACACCCACGGAAGAATGCTTTAACATTATTATTTTGTATTTGATATATATTGATTTGGTATATTTATTCAGGGCTCAGACATTAAATAACTCCATTGTCTTTCATTAACTTCAAAACTCGACCTTCTCTGGTAACATGTCAACGGGGCTTTAAGGGTTTTTTATACGTAGGCGTAGGTACGTTTCATACGTAAGAATGCTTTAACATTCTTTCAATTTATTTACTTTTTCAAAGATAACATATATAATGATTTAGACTTCCGTGTGTGTACGTGCGTATGAAAAACGTGTGAATTGACACAAGAACTGCATTTGTTTGCTTATCTTTTTGTAAGAAACGTCCACAAATTCTTTGTAAGAAACGTTTGCAATTTCGGTTATGAAGGTGAATATAACAGCCTAATACGTCAAATTTAACCAATCAATATGCAACCTCGCTCCCAGGGTGATCAATATGTAGGATTTGTTGTTATATTCACTTGCAAAAATACTAAAAAAAATTATTTGGAGATACCGTTCCAGTTTTGTAACTTCAGTTCACGGCGCCATATAGCTCAGTGGTCACACCCAAAACTCACCCAGTTCCTGTTTCTCTTTGAGTCTTTGTATTTCTTCAAAGTCTGTTGTGTTCGTTATTTGTCAAAATGATCGTATTCTTGGACTAGAAGCTCCCAAAGTGATCCTGATTCGTCGTGGATGATCAACGTATTTATCGAGAAAGCTGAAGTTGTTTTAACAAGGTTTATCGACGCAGACAAGTACAAAAACAAAGACATACGGCTTTGGGCTAGTCGGTGTAATACAGACTAGACAAGACCAGATTGTCGAAGGTATGTGCTAGATTCCTTGTGAGATTTCTCTCATATTTTGATATACGTATGCGTCCTTGTCTATTTGCTTTAAATTACAATATTTTGACGGGATGGTTTGGTTTATATTGCTGTTTCACGTAGTATATTGCTAATTGTTGCTTATATATACTGTATATATTGCTTAGTCAACAAAAATATTCACAATCTGATTTAGCTGGGTAGGGGAGGAATTTATTTTTCAATGCTTTGTGGTTAATATCGTATTAAGCACATCTAATTTTCAATTTATTTACATACTGCTCCCCTAGTTGCAATAACACAGGAAATCAATTTTATTCAGTATTCACTAAATTATTTAGACCAGAGTCCAGAAATATCTTTCAGGGGTAATGTAATCATTTCATTCATTTCTTACATGTCCATTTTAAACAATTTATTTGATCTAATATTTGTTAGGAAAATTGTTCGGCAACAGATTTGGTTGAAACCAATACCCAATAATATATTCTAATATATTCTTCATGCAACTTTGAATGGTATTAAGTTTTATGGCTAAAATCCACCATGATCATGGTCAAACAATATATGTTATATCAATGCAAATATCACATAACTAAAAGACTGAGATATATTTTACTTAATTTATAAATCATAAATGAAGTTTTCCAGTTCTATTAATCTTACATCCACATATATGCCATCACATTTTACACTATGTGCATTTATTATGGTTTCTTTCTCATGTATAATACCAGCTTGTATACAGCTAATTGATAAAAAATCATCCCCTGGCTATCATGTTAACTATGTATTTAGGCTTTACCATCTGTTTCAACCAAAAGTATTTTAACAAGTACACTGGTCAGTCATTAATCAGTCCATCTAGTACAACAATATCTGTCAATCACTGAAATAAATTATCTGTCAGTTCAGCAATACTTTAGTTGCAAATATTTTCATTCATGAGGTTGGAACTTAATCAGACCCAATGCAATCCCAGCTAATGTATGAGAGAGTTATCTATGGCTTAGTTGAGTATTTGTCACAGAAACATTATTGGACCAGAATTACAGATTGCAAGTGAAATGTTGTAAGTAAATACTGAGGTGTCGTCTCTAGGGTGGTTGGGTGGTCTTCATGACAGTAATTGCATTTCTTATAAACTTAAATTTGTTTATATTTTCATTGTCGAGCTGGCCCTGCATTTATGACAATGGTCAGTTCGGTTTATTCACTGTGATTAACCAGAGGCATTTTCTCTGTAAACCAGAAACCATTACAACAGTCATTTATGTATTAACACAACATAAATTCTCAGCCAAGTTAGACGAGCCATTGCGCGTTTATAAAAAAATTCCAGCTTCCCTAACACCGTCATGGCTGATCCCTGCACAAGATAATATTTTTATTTAAATTATGATTCCTTTACCGTCTGTCAACAATGCGTGTGATGAAATCTCTACTGAGATTGAGTGCTTGTGAGGTTTTAAATTACAATCAATTTCCGTCTTCGTTCAAATATATCTACATCGTGAGTATCTTCTGCGAATTTTGGTACATTTGTGTGAAATTTTAGCCATGTATTGAGATAATCGCTTTCATGATTTGAAAAGGTACGTTTATGTTAGTGTTAGTCGTGTTTTTTGAAGAGTGTAAATGATTTTATGTCATCAGCACAGTGAAGTCGTCACAGTCGTGTAAGGTCTTGCCACAACACAGCGCTTTGTCTGTGGCGCGGTGAAATAAAATTGCAAATTTCGTTTTTTTCTTCCTTTCAATGTTCTTAAAGTCAGGTTTCAGGCGTTTGAGATGTGATTTATGATTCGTTGATTTATGATTCCACATTGCGATAAAAAGAGACATGCTTTTAAGTTTTCGCGCATGATTTTAAATTCGTAAACGTAGTTGCTAGTCTATCTGCATGATTGCCAAATATTGGTCTGCATAATGCCTTAATGGTGGCGTTGTCAGTATACTCGTGTGATAGTGATACTTGAAATACATTGCACATTTCTCGCTTCTTTAAACATAAGGAATACAATTCCGAAATTGACAAATTGTTAACTCATCGCCAGAATAATATGTTGTTACCGACCTTCCTATGCCATTGGAGTCATATCCTGCAGCAACAAATTTTCAGACTACAGTTTAAGACCCTCGTGTGACTATAGAGACGCATCATCCGTCTGTTATTTTAAATACAGGGTATTAACCAGAAAACAGCTCTTGTACACGCGCTTTTTGCCACATAAATATTTTCCAAGATATTTTCCCATTTTCGATGCACTTAAGTAAGGCGTGATTTTGTTTATGTTCGACATATTCGTCTACATATGGTTTTGCCCATGTAGATTATCACATTCTAAATTTTGAACTAGTGCGTTTGTGATTATAAATGATTTATCAACAACACGGTAAAATAGACATGGTTGGTTGTATGTGCATGTAGGTGCGGAACAGCGCTGTGGCGTCGTATTGAATAAACTTGCATTATTAAATGCCTGGCACTGCACAGCGCTTCGTCGCGTTGTGGTCTTGTGTGATACTAATACTGGAAAAACATTCATCACTTCTTTAAATTACTTTGAGAATCGCGAAAATTTTTCTCCTATCATTCCAGTCTTCACTTCCGCGCTTCTGTTTGTCATATTTCCGGGGAATCTTTGCGATGTAGTGGAATTATCCCTTTGATAATTTGAGAAGGTAAGTTTTTGTCACGGCGGACAGAGCTATTATCATCGCTTCAACCGATAACTTATCATCAGAATCGCATCGCAGCGAAAACTAGTGCATTCGTTTAAAATTCTTGTTTGAATTTTCTTCTATGTTTCCTAATATAAACCAGAGTGAAATCTGGTCTTAAATCATAATTTATGATGGTAAATGCAGGAACGAACTATGCTTCGAAATGCTCGATCAGCTTCCTGAGCTGGCGTGCGTGTATATACAAGGAAATTCAAACCTTGCGTAAGATTTAAATTATAAAATTTATTATAAAATATGCCCCTTATCTAATTGTAATAGCCCGCAAATTCACCAATTGCAACACTCGGCAAACACATGACCCCTGGCGTGTATTTAATGTATTGAACGATTGAGCGACGTTTTAAATTCCCTTTAAGTGTTTGTTAGCTTGGCTGCGCATTTGCTGTATGTTTATCTCTTTGGGGTTTTGGCCATGTAAATGAACTATCCCTTCTAAGTTTTAAACAGGTACGTTTGTGATTATAAATGATTTCATATCATCAACACTTACAGAGTAAATATATACACACCGTCGGTTTCATCACAGGTTGTTTGTGCATCTCGATACGGAAGCCGGAACAGCCGACTCTTGCGTCTATCTTTTTATTTGTTTTCGCGGAGACGTATCACTCGTGATTTGAAATTAATATCTTCGTTGATTCTTTGTGCCTTTATTCAACTAGGTACCAATCTTTAAATGAATTCGTTTAAAAGATATATACGAAAAATTTAGGACTATCAGCTCGCGTTGTTATCTCGTGTGGCACTGGAAATAAATTCCTCGCCTTATTTAAGCGATTGCTACTATTCTAATGTACAATGGTAAGATATTTCAGGTTATCGCTATTCATTTTATTCATACCAAGAAGATGAAATTTGGCGGTCTGGGGCCAGTTGTATGAAAGCCTGATAGCGCTATCCACCGAATTTTCAATCGATTTAAAATCGCCCGTCGTTTGCTATAACTTTCATTAAATCTTAGTTTCATTAAATCGAAGATCCCTTTTATTAATTGTTGGTTCCAAAGATAAAATTTTATCCCTTTTTGAGCATTTTTACAACGGTTGAAAATCACTATATCCGGTGGATAGCGCTATCCAGCCTTCGTATACAACCTAGCTGCCTCTGTACTCTGTATAGACATGCACAGTTGCAATTAAAGAGTTTAAGATGCGAGATTTAAGCTTCGGAATGAACTATTCTGCATTCCGAGAAACCAAGTTACTTTTTTTACTTGATATAGCTATTATATGACCATTTTTCACAGTGAAATAAATAATATGAAATGTTTGCTGGCGAAAATAAACTCCACAAATATACAAATTCCATAACCACATGACACTCGCATGACATTGGGAATTTTAAATTTCATTGAGAATTACAAAAATTTTCCTCCTAGGATTCAAGTCCTCATTCTGCACATCTGTTTGTTATATTTCCGGGGAGTCTTCGCCATTTAGAGGAATTATCGCTTTCAAAATTTGAGAAGGTAAGTTTTTGTCACGGCGTTGGTCATATTCTTTCCTTTTTTAGGATTATCCGTGTTTATTCTGTGGCGCGGCGCAGAGCTATTATCATTGCTTCAACGGATAACATGCCATCACAACCACATGCATCACAGTGAAAACTAGTGCATTCGTTTAAAATTCATGTTTGAATTTGCTTCTATGTTTCCTAATATAAACCAGAGTGAAATCTGGTCTAAATCATAATTTATGCTGGTAAATGCAGAAACGAACCATGCTTCGAAATGCTCGATCAGCTTCCTGAGCTGGCGTACGTGTATATACAAGGAAATTCAAACCTTGCGTAAGATTTAAATTATAAAATTTATTTTAAAATATGCCCTAATCCAATCGCCAATTGCGACACCGCCGCAGCAAACACATGACCACTGACGTGCATTAATCTATATCGAACGATTCGGCGAGGTTTTCAATTCCCGTCAAAACTCAAAAGTGTTTGTTGGCTTGCCTGCGCATTTGCTGTATGTTTATCTCTGTGGGGTTTTGGCCATGTAAACGAACTATCGCCTTCTAAGTTTTAAACAGGTACGTTTGTGATTATAAATGATTTCATATCATCAACACTTACAGAGTAAATATATAGACACAGTCGGTTGTATCATGTTGGTTTCAAAACGGAAGGTCGTTCAAGTTGCTATTTTTCTGGCAAAAACAAGTTGTTATTTTCCGTTTCAGCGCAAAGATTTACATCAAATGCGTAAATTTGGTTAGCAAATGCGCGATGCGGTTGCCTTGCCTAGCCACGCTATGTCCGTCACAAACACACTGCGTTTCTATGTTTTGAAATCCGGTTCATGCTACACAAAAACAGCCTACCTAGCTTAGGTTTCTCATTCTACGCTGAGTCTCGAATGTGGACGCTTGCAAGAAGGCAAAGGTTTATGCTACAATTCTATTCGCATTGCGAGACAAAAAATTCTATCTTTATTCTACCTTGATCAAAGCTATATCTACGCGCATGATATAGTTAAAGTTGGTGCGTCTGCAAACCAAAGTAAGTAAATAAATAATACGTTGTTTCAGCTCAGTAGCAATTGTCGCGCTAAGTGTTTCGATAAGCGCTGCTAAAATCGGTTTAGTTGTTATATTGTATTGCATGCTAATTCTTAGTTTAATAAGTATATCTCATTTATGTCAATTATCAAGTATACTCGTATTAATTTCATGTGATAGGTTACTATAGTTTGTCTGCTTATCATATTTTAGTTCGAACCGACGCAATATTCTCAATCGACTTATTCGACCCAAACCTGTATATATCCTGTTAATAAATTATCAAAATTCCTACGTCGAGTTCGTTTCATTCTACGCACCGCGTCTACCCCTGTAGATTTATTGGGAACTCGTTGACATTGAATTTCTGTCCCAGTGAAGCTACATATCACAGGTTGTTTGTGCATTTCGACGAAGAAGCCGGAACAGCCGACTGTGGCGTCTATCTTTTTATTCGTTTTTGGGGAGACGTATCACTCGTGATTTGAAATTACTATCTTCCTTGATTTTTTGCGCCTTTATTCAACTGGTTACCAATCTTAAAATGAATTCGTTTAAAAGATATATATGAAAAATTTAGGACTATCAGCTAAGTGGCTTGGCATTATTGATTTATTCCACAGTGTTATGATCGCGTTGTTATCTCGTGTGATACTGGAATAAATTCCTCGCCTTATTTAAACGATTGCTACTATTCTATTCGACAATTCTAAGATATTTCAGGTTATCGCTTTTCATTATATTTATACCAAGGAGATTAAATGTGAAGTATACGGACCACATTCAACACGACACTGAGCACGATATTCAAAAACACCATGTTATTCATTATTATTATTCATGGTTTATTGAACACATTGCAATAGCGTGATACAGCTAAATTATTATGTGTTTACATCGTTGTAAAATTTTATACATTTAAAGTCTATCTAAGAATAGAATTACAGTTATTAGTGTATAATAGGGTCCATGCACTAAGAATATTAAAACTAATATAAGTATATATGTATTTATATATAGATCTAAAAATTATTTATATACAGTTATTTCAATACTTTCATTAAACTTGTCAATAGGCATAATACACTTCGTTTGTTAAAAACTATTTTAGAAATTATATACAATTTATAGATTATATAGATCGAGTTCTTTAAACTATACTTTCGTTATATTGATCAATCGCATAGACCAAAGGACTATTTTTAAAACGATCTGTTCTACTAGTAAAATTATAAATTATGTCATTATTTGCTCTTGTTTGCCTGTTTTTAATACTGAAATGTTTATCAGGAAGCAGTTTGTGTAATTTATGGCTCGGCTGGATCATATTCTTTATGAGATCAATGCAT